TGTTGGAAAAACTGGATCCTTGTCTAGGGCCAGTCTGGTCTTTGCCTCTCTAGGTGTGTCATTTTGGGTTTCCACATACCCACTGCTGGCTGACCCAAGGACATAAACTTGTGTTGGTTGGAAATATTGTGCATTTGAGAGGCTCTTTTCTTTGGGGGACCAGAAGGCACCTGGGCTTACTTTCTGGCTTTCTATCATCACTCAACTTTCAGAGATATAGGTGAATTGGTTGATGTTTTATTCTCTGTCTTAAGGCCCCAGTCCCTAAAAATGAAAAAAAAAGAATTCCTCATTTATAGAGTCCTGTAACTCAGTGATATTTTGAAGGGGGGCCTGGAGCAGTGACTGGGACTTGGGATATCTCGTCTCCTCTCCAGATGGATCTTGGGAATGCATAGCATAAGTGCCCTTCGGGGTGTGGATCTTGTTCTCGGGACACAATACTAGGTTCCTTTGAGAGCTGTGGTAAGGTAGAACAGTGTAGCTGAAGCATCAGCCACACCAAGCTCACCTCAAGCAAGCCTGCTGGCCTGAGTGATCTTCACTGAGGCACAGAATTCTGTCAGGTGCTGCAGTAAATGGTTCTCCATGCCATCCTGGTTTTCCTCTGTCTCAATCCTTGGTGTTCATGATGCTCACCGCTGTTCCTCAAACACTACGATCTATATGTTCTGGAGCACATGGAATTCATTGTGTCTTATTCGGAGCCTGAGTACTGGTAGGTTTCAAAAGCTTTTAGGCAATTGCCAGGCAGGCAGAGGTGAGAATGACTGTCTTATAGGCAAGAAACGTTGAAAACCCTCATTTGACTCCATTGCTGTGTGTCTGCCATCATCCATCTTCCTTCCCTTGCCAGGATGGCTTATCTATCAGGCTGTAGTTAACATTGTCAACGTTAAAAATCCAAGACTTATCAGCAGGGTAATTTCCTCAAATATCTTTCATGTGTACAGTGTAGCACTGGGCACTTTTGACATCCCAGAGGCATGCATGCAGGACCAGGAGTCTACCAGAGTGCTTTCTGTAATGTAAGGAAAGTCAGGGTTGAGAGTGAGTTGATTCAGGCTGACCTCCTGAACTGAGGATCTCAAACAGGGTTCCTTGTGGTGCTCTGGCAATGGTTTCTGAAGGTACAACTTCTTCCTTCCTCTTTACCACCTATATCTTAATAGATTTTGCTTTGAATCTTAAGAATTCTTTTATAGTGTGGATATTTAAGACTAATAATTCTGATAATCCAAGGAAAGGGCTTATTCAACTTTCCAATGTCCTTTTTAAATTTCTTTCTTCATAGTTAGGGTAAATTTAATTATAGTGGTCTTTGGCTAGGTTGATTTAAATATATTTATTTTTCTTAAGCTTTTGTAAATTGAAATTTTTCCCATTTTCTCAGTGGCTTCATTATTGTGTATAGATGTATGATTGATTTTTGAGTATTGATTTTGTATTCTGCTGAATTTAGCAGATTTAAAGACTTCTGGTGAAGTTTTTCAGATCTTATATGTAAATATCACATCTGGAAAGAAAAATTACAAATATTAGCACACAAATAAATGAAATTGTTACTAAAAATAATACACAATATCGGTAAATCTGTTTGTTCTTTTAAAGGATAAAAAATATTGAAAAACCCTTAGCCAAACTTATGAAAAGGAGGAAAGAAAATACACATATTAATGGAATTATAAATGAAAAGGCAAAATTACAGTAGGCACTATTGAAAGCCAGTATGTAAAGCCATATGTTTTATATCCTGTAGGCTTACTGAAAACTATTTTGAAAACTCTTATTCTAATAAATTGAAGATCCTAGAAGAAATGGATAAGTTCCCCGACACATGACATAAAATAGTTGAATCAAGAAGATATATGGGGAATAAGGGAAAGGGAAAAAATGTGAAAAAATGTAAAAATGGAATTAAACGGTAGGTAAGGAGGGGAGGAGGGGGTGAAGGGAGGGTGGGGACAAGGAGAAAAAATGAGAATCAAGACCTGTCATGTAAATTTACAAGATTCCAGTAATGAATGTAACTGTACTGTATTCCTAGAATGTACCAATAAATTCAATTAAAAAAAACCTGACAGTTAACATCATACTTGTTGAAAGATTGGGTGCTTTCCTATTAGGATCAGAAGTTGTATACTCTCTGAAGTAGATGTTCTAGCCAGGAGAATTAGGCAAGATAGAGAAATGAAAGGAATCCAAACTGGAAAGAGAGAAGCAAAATTATTTTTTATTTGCAAATTCATGGTCTTATATACTATAGAAAATGCTAAGGAATCCATAAGAACTACAGGAGAGCTAATAAAGGAGCTTAGCAAGGTTGCTAATGCAAGATCAGTGGAAAAATCATTTGCATTTCCATACACTTGCAATGAACAATCTGAAAGTGAAATTAAGAAATAATTCTGGGGGAGGGAGGAGGGGAGTAGGGAGGGCAGGGACAAAGGGGAAAAATGAGAACCAAGACCTATCATGTAAAGGTACAAGATCCCAATAATGATTGTAACTTCACTGTATAACTAAAATGTACCAATAAACTCAATGAGGAAAATAAAAAAGAAGATATAAAATCTCTGAGTAGATCAATAAGAGGCAATGAAATCACAGTAGTAAATAAAAATGCTACAATCTAAGAAAAGCCAAGATCCTGATTGACAGAGATATAACATATTAATTTTGTACATTGGGATGGATATTTTTGTTCTAATATTTGTGATTTTTCTTTCCAGATGTTTTTTGTTTCTTTTTTCTTCTCTTTGAGGCCCTCAGAGGCATCATTAGGTTATTTAGTTAGGTTTGCTCTGTTTTTGTAATGTAGGCAAGTCACAGCCATAAAATTCCCTTGTAAAAATGCTCTCTTTGTGTCCCACACATTGTTTTGAATATCATTTGATACTAGGAATTTTTAAATTTGTCCCCTGATTTCTTCAGTAACTCATTGATCACTTAGGCATGTATTCAATCTTCATATGCTTGTGTATTTTCTGCAATTTCTCATGCAGTTGATTTCTAGGTTAGTTCCTTTGTTATCTGATAGGATATATGAAATTATTTCATCTTTTTTATTCATTGAGACTTGATGCATGGTCTAAAATATGATTTATTCTGTAGGAACTTCTTTGAAGGACTGAAGAGAAAGTGTATTCTATTGCCACTGGATACTCTAAAGATTAGGTTAATTGCTTATTTCCCATAATACATATTAATTTTGATATTTCTCCATTAATTTTTCTGACCCATTTGTTGCTATATAGGTGTTGGAGTAAGCCAACTATTTTTTTTTACATCTCTGGTGGGTTTTGCTTGTTTGTTTGCTTGTTTTTGTCAAGTATTGTTTGTTTTATGAAATTGAGTGTGATTTAAGTGTGGTATGTATATATTTTTTATTATTGTATCTTGTTGGTGATTGTTCTCTTTACCAATGTGTATTGACTTGCACTGTCTCCTCCTGCTAATTTTTTAAAAAAATATTACTTCTCTTTATGAAGCTGTGCCAGTTGTTTTCAGACTCTACTGCTTGGTTATTATTTTCTAACCTTTCAATTTTAATCACTGTATATTATCATAGATGAGGTGTGTTTCTTGCAGAAAACTTATAGACCATTTCGATTTTTGATCCAACCTATCATATTATGTCTTTTATTGGAAAATTTAGACAACTGACATTAAGTGTTATTGAAATATATGTGCCAGTTCCTGTCATTTTTTTGTTTTGCAGTTGTTTGATCCTTCTGCACTGTTTATTTGTCCCTCCCAATGGAGCTTTACTTTTGTGCTTTGTCTAGTAGTTGCTGTATGCTTGATCTAAATTTAGATGTTCCTTAAGTATTTTTTACAGTGCTCCCATGGTGCTTGTGAATATCTCTAGTTCATATCACAGAAGGTCTATATTTCTCCTTTAGCTTTGTTCCCATTAAGTTTATTGGTACATTTAAAGCAAACAATACAGTTAGAGTTATCATTGGGATCTTGTACCTTTATATGATATGTCTTTGTTCTTATTTTTCCCCATATCCATGCCCTCCCTTCACCCCCTTCACCCTTTCTCCTTTAGTTTCAAAGGATGTCCTTGCAGAATAAATTATTCTGGAGGGGTCATTATGCTTTTCACAGCTTGAACAACTTTATTTCAAGCTCTCCTGGCCTTTAAACAGTCTGTTGAGAGATGTGATATTATTCTGATAGCTACTTCTTATAAATGATTGAATACTTCTCTCTAATAGGTTTTAATATTGTTTCTTTGTTCTCAATTTTGGCATTTCAGTGGTGACGTGATATGGGAGGTTCTTTTCAAGCTGTATCTATTTGGGGATGTAAATACATCCATTATCTTGATTTTCGTCTCAATAACCAGTTTGGGGATTTTTTGCAGTGATTCAGTGAATTGATTTTTGAGCTATATAGTGTATATTTCAATGCCTTCTTCTGGGAAAATGAGCATGAGTTTATATCTTTGAGATATACCTGAAAACTCTTGCATAGTTTAATTATTTTCCCCTTTGTTTGTGTGTGAATGTTCTAGAACTTCCTCACTCTGTTCAACTCCTGATATTCTCTGTTGTGAGTAATATTTCTACTGCCAGAATTTTCAACTAAAGCTCTTGACCAATGATGAGGCTGCTGGCAAACCTTACTATATTGCCCAGGGCAAAACACACTTCTCTACAAGACACTCCATGAAGGAGAGAAAGGAACATAGATGTGTGTACTGCAATCTAAGGAGTCTGGTTTCATTTGTAACGCACCTAGTTTCACATTATCTGTTAGGTCTAAGGAAACAGGCTGCTGAAGGCTGATGTGTAAGGAATGGTAGAGTTGTCCTAGGTCCCCTGGATGGGGACACATGAAGGCCCATTGAAGTGCAAGACTCCTGCTGTGATGTTCACTTGTGTTTATGTTTGTCTACTCCTTTAAATATCTGTATGCTTTGTCCTCAGCGTCCAATCCCTGAAAATGTACTTAGTAAGTTTAAACAACACACATATATAACTGTTTGCTCAAAAATGATTTTACTACTAGATAGGACTATATCATCACAGATTATTAGAGGCTGAAAGATTAGGAGGCATGTCCAGGGAGTATACAGTTCACTGGAGGGCATTAAATTATCCAAGCTTCCACAGCACAAAGTTTTTGTGGGTCTTGACTATCCACCATGGTGTAGTTGCAGTTTTCCTTGTGAAAAATTTCAGTGCACTTGATTCTGTCATAATGTACAGGTATTGCAACTCTATAGTGGAGAGAAGACCAATGCTTTACAAAGACACCAGTACAATTCACAATATCTAACCTATAACAACATTCTAGATGCTTAGCAATTGAGAAATTGATTAAAACATACATGTTTATGTTCAATGAAATGTTACTAAGCCAAGTGATTGGCAGGAAAATGAATATACTGGAAAGAATTATGCTAAGTGAAATTTGTCAGACTCAGAAAGGGAATAATGACATTCCAGGATGCTGAGACATAGGTGAAGAGAACAGAGGGTAGGTATCTGTCTCGGCTCACTTCTACTGTGAATCCAAACCTGCTCTGCAAAATAATGTTTATGAGAAACCCCTGAAGGATGAGATGTTGCATTAATAAGAAGCTTCTCTTTAGAAAGAGGCAGGTATTCCTCAGCCACGACTGCATTGAGACTCACTTATTGTAATACTGAATTCCATTTTTAAGGCAGTAGCACTCTTCACACTTCTCAGAGATCCATGATGAGTTCATTGGATGCATGATTCCATCCTCATCTGTGCATTCTGAAAAAATACACACAGAATCATCAGTGGAGTCCCTGGATCATCCAACAGGAACAAGGCTGTGAGGACCCAGAGGCCAGGCTCTGCTTAGAGATGACAAACAATTTAGAAGGCATATATGACAATGCTGCTTTAGTTCTCTTCAAAATTTCAGTACTGGGAGATCCGTGAAATTGGTAACATTTTCCAAAGAAAACTGAAATCCATTTAAATTTTATTTGAAAATTGGCATTTCAAAAATAACTAAGGACTTCCTATTTCATTATATTGGGAGCCCACTTTCAGCCAGAGTATCTCTAAATAAAGGCCTCACTTCTGTACATTTTTAATTTGCCACTTTTTGCTTTGGCCCTTAATGCATGCACCAGTGAACATGTTGGGGCTTACAGAAATGGGTTCACAATAGGTACAGGTCAGTGAAAGATCTTGTGCTAAGATGCAAAAAAAACGTTCCACACTTAATCCAAGCAGCAGAACAAGATGCAAATAATAATAATAATCAGGCAAACACACTTCTGTACATTTTTAATTTGCCACTTTTTGCTTTGGCCCTTAATGCATGCACCAGTGAACATGTTGGGGCTTACAGAAATGGGTTCACAATAGGTACAGGTCAGTGAAAGATCTTGTGCTAAGATGCAAAAAAAACGTTCCACACTTAATCCAAGCAGCAGAACAAGATGCAAATAATAATAATAATCAGGCAAACACAAAGTCTCTACATTTTGATATAAAATATAAAACACAGAAATCAGGATCTCTGGGTGTGGACCAATGCTGACATCACTTTAAAGCACTGAAAAATGATTCCATTTTTCAACCAAGGGTTAAAACCACTGTTGATATCACTGAGGATACATGGGGCTTGCAGGAATCCCACCCTCTAAATCACCTGGACTGCCAGAGACATGAAAAGCTCACCTCTTCCTTCAGGTCCCTTGATTAGAATATGCAGTTGACAAGTCTCCCCTTGCCTGGCATGGATATTAAAATCTGAATACCTTTTGGACCAAGCAATTGTCCTCAACCATGAATCCATGTGGTAGTCACTCAAGGAGCAGTTGAGTGTGCTGCTCTGACAACTGGGATTCCGATTTATTGTGTCTTAGGTGAAACCAGAGTGTTTGCAGGTTTCAAAAGCTCTGTAGGCAATTGTCAGCCAGGCAGAAGCAAGGATGACTACCTTATATTCAGCCCAAGTAGAAGACCCTCATTTGACTCAATTTCTGTATTTTTCCTCACCCATCTTTCTGTGTAGACTCAAAACATTCTCTTCTCAGCAGGTTCTACCCATCAGGCCTTAATAATATCATTACCAACATTGAAAACCAAGACTTACCAGCAGGGGAATCATCTTGAACTTCCTCATTGGATCTGATATGGCACTGGGAACTGTATGATGTCATAAAGGCAGCCAGAACCAGGAGGCTGCCCAAGAGAACCTTCTGAAATGTAAGGAAAGTCATGGGGGAGAGTGAGTGAACTCAGACTGTCATCCTGGATTGAGGGTCACAGAAGGAACGTTTTTGGTCTCTGGAAAGTGGTTCAGAATGTGGATCCTCTTCCATTCTGTTTTCAAGCTAACAGGTTGAGACCTACACATTCAATAGGTAAATGGTGGGTAGAACTACATGTGTGTCCTGAATCCCATGGCTGCAATGACAGTGTGCTTTCTTTTTACAGAGGAAGTTCAGGAGTGCTTTGAAGATAAAAATACTTTTTAGCTGTTTCACAAACAAGGGAGAAGTTATACAAACATTAAACCATTTACAAAATCATAGATCCAGGAAAATAGAGTTGGAGGCTGACTGCAATTAAGTTAATTGGACAAGTGACTAAGAAGACAAGTTACCACAGTGACTTATTTACTTTCCTCATCACTGAAATACAATAATCCACCCCTGCATAATAAAAGAGGACAGATTTATTTTTGACTCACAATTTGAAGAGTTTTCAGTCCTTGAGTGGTCAGTAGCATGACAGAATATCCCTATGTGCAGGAAATCTGCTTAGTAACAGTGGCTGGGACAGAGAGAGAGATCAAGGGAGGAGATAGGAAATACATACTTTTCGGTCACACCCACAATGACCTGTCTCTTCTGTTCAGACCCAATCTCCTCAGAGAAAGTAAATTGCAATGCCCCCATAATCCTTATATATAATATTTAAACCCACGAGTCCCCCCAAGGTCATTTTGGAATATAAATTTAACCATCTCTAAGAGTTATCAAAGTCCTAACAATTCTCCCACTGATGAAAAGTCCAAGTCCAAAGTCTCCTCTGAAACTCAAGGCAAAGTCTGACATGTGAGTACCTATAAAAATAAAAAAGAAAGGTAAACAAAGTAGATGTTTAGTGTCAAACAGTAATTATTTCCATTGTAAAAGAAAAGGATAGAAAAGAATGTGAATAAAGCAAGACTGAAGCATAGACAGGGAAATATTACATCCTGTAGCTCCATGTTCAGCCCCTGGAGCAAGATGTGGTGAGATAGTAGCTCTTAATCCCTGGAGAAGCCCTATGCCTAAGGCACCACAGGAATTATCTCTTGTGGTTTCTTTCTTGGGCTGACTTTGCTTAAACCTTGAGGATTTCTTTAGATTTTCCATGTACCCGGCTTCTCCAACTTCCTATATTCTCCATTGTCCTTTGGCTGCACTCATTGAGCTTCTTGCCCTGTTCTCTCATGGGCAAACCGACTGGCTTCACAAGTTTTCTTCTGAAATATGCATGAAAGCCTTCCTAACCCCACAACTCTTACATTCTGCATTCCTATAAAACCAGCATCATATGGATAATGACACAGTTTGTCACCACCTAGAGCAGTAGCCAGCCCTTCAATAATTAGCCAGGCTCTTGCATCATGACTACAAGTGTCTCTGAGTGCGTGGATATCTGAGCATTGGGGAAAAAATCCCAGGTACCCAATTCCCTACGTGGCCTTTCTCCAGGAGAGTGCCTTGAAACTATCTTCTCAAAGCAAAACTTTTTATTTATCCACCCTTGAGTTAGTCTGCAGAGAGGGGAGACTTGGTGACTCCTCCCATACTCTCTAGACTTCCTCTGTACTGTTCTAATATAGCATAATTGGCTTCTTTTTAATACTAATCTTTTCAGAAAACAAGCTGTCCTCTGCTCCAGTTTAGAAGGCCCCAACTCTATTGGAGCTTCCTCTCTGGACAAATTCATCTTTTGAAATCATTCTTTGGTGTCACTTCAAGCTCCTGTCCTGATTCTCATTGTAGATCTGGCTAAATGGCCCCAATGCCAGGCCTGGTGGCCCATGCTCATAATCTCAGCATGTGGGAGGCTAAGGCAGGAGGATAACTTTGAGTTTGAGAGCAGCCTGTGCTTGTAGGAGCAAGTCATCTATTAAGCACCTTCCAGTTACCTCTCAAAATCCCAACCTTTGACCCATGGGGCTTTGGAAAGACATGTAGATATAAACCAGGAACAGGCAGGTGGAAATACAGAGTATTTTCAGACATTTACCAATTCCCCAAACACAAATGTAAGTATTACATATCACAAACATACTAATGAAAAGTTGACAACAAGAAGACAATGCAGCTTTGAATCTCATTTTACTGATAATAAAAAACTTTTTTTTTAATTTTCAGAACTCTGCTGTTCTGTACATAAAAGCCAGAGCTTTGAGCATCTGAGGTCAGCTCTCTATCACTCAGCTTCACCGCTGCACTGAACAAAGCATCTCTCATGGGGACCTGGACACAGCAATAAAGTTTGATTGCAATCACAGTCAGAAGACCAAGGGAAGTAGCATGTGGTCCACATCAAGTTCACATATGAACCTCAGTGCAGTAGTTTCAGGAATCTTCAGGAAAGGAAGACATGGTGACACAGTCCTTCTGCAAGATGCTTGAGGTCAGTGATGAAGTGATGCCAGGCTAATGGATCACCACTGATGCAAGAACAGTGGAACACTGAGGATAAAACAGAAAATCCAGAGTATTTATTTGTGAATATGGATGTGAGTCCCAAGAAATGATCATGCTCTTTGAGATTATAGTGGGTCATCTGTGGGAAGTGATTATAAAATAAATGGCACAGGAAAACATAGTAAAGGTTTGGGAAAGAAACAGCACCGTTCCCTTCTAGTTTCCACCACTAAACAAATTCTAAAAAGCTATTCATGTACTGGGTGACCCCCCTACCACCAAAGCCATTCAGTTGCTCATCTGTGGAAATGTCACTAGGTCCCAATTTTCTCTCCTTCCTGCTGTCCTCAGTGGCCTGGAGACCCCCCAGCTACTGGATCAACCAACCCCATCCCGCAATGGAAAGACACAGAGGGCTAACAGCTTGTGCTGTTCATCACCTGACCTCATTGCCCTTAGCCTCAGCTACCAAAGCAATTTGTTACCCAAACCATAGGCAGAATCCCCAGGGCTGGATGGCCACAAGAGAGGCTCTGGTGCCAGTGCCTGGTGGGAGATTTCCTAAATCTGCTTCATCTCTTTCTGAAGTCTTTCTCATCAGGTGTTCCAGTTACTGAGTTACTAGTTACTGAGGGAGGACAAGTTATTTCTGTAATAAAATGATAAAATGAAAAGATAAAAGATTTAATGCCTAAATTTTTACAATTAAATCGTAAATCTATAAAAATAGAAAATATAGATTAATTTCTATATTTTCCTAAGGATTAAATTATAATAGATTTGAATGTATAAAATATGTAAGAGTAATAAAATTAAGAAGAGATCAAATTTGGAGAACAATATCATTATATGCTGTTTGTATACATCAAAAGAAAAATATCTCAGTTTAATAATTGTAAGAGAAAGGTCATTACACAGAGAGACACGTAAATAAAGTGAAAATGATTTTTAAAAAGCTCAACTATTCAATTACACAAATGCACATATGAAAACAAAATGGAACCACAATGTGATGGTCAGAATAATGATGTAATTCACAATGCTTATAGCAAAAAAATAGGCACAAATCAAAACAAAATGATATGCACAGTGATCTTTTTTGTGGAACAGTACTTTGTGGAACAATTCATTTTTGCACATGAACATTCCTGCATCATTTTGTGTCCAAATTTGCAATTCTTTGGCTTAGTCCCAAGGAGAATGGCAGAGCAGTGAACATCAGCTCTCCCACTAGGGTGCTCAAGGCACTGGTAAAATGAGAAACAACAAACAGTCCAGCACACAGCGCCTGAGAGCACAGGGACCCAGGAATCAACCTTGCAGCCTGACAGGTGAGAGGGAGAAAGGACAGGAGCCAAGGATCACTGGGTTTCCTTCCATGATACGAATCCAGCTGCAGTTCAGCCTGGGTGGTGTGAGTGCTGGGAACGAGATGGAGACAGCAGGGCTCATGGCAAGTGTAAGGAAGGCATTTGGGATTGAAGTGATTGTGACAATTTTGGGCTTTCCCTTTAATTTTAAATCAGTTGCACTAAATTCATAATCATGAAGGATTAAATAAATTCTTTTAGAAATCTCATCATATTTAACAAATGCAGAACTTGATATTTTACTTGCACAATATGGGTGGAAGTGGAGATTTTCTTTTTTGTAGGAATTTAATACAGAATTTTTTTCCTTTTTATTAAGTTTATTGGTACATTTTAGGTATACAGTACAGTTACATTCATTACTGGGATCTTGTACCTTTACATGCCAGGTCTTGGTTCTCATTTTTTCCCCTTGTCCCTGCCCTCCCTTCACTCCCTCCTCCCCTCCCCATTTACAAACACTTTATTTCCATTTTTTCATTTTCTCATATTTTTCTTTTTCATTATTACCTTTCCCCTACCCTTCCCACATTCCCTACAACTTTAGCCTTTTTCTTCCTATTTCACATTGTTAATTATCCCATTACATAATTTTTATTAATTTAAATAGTGTCATTAGTAGTACATATTCATATTTAAAGTACATATTCATTATATTCATTGCAGGGGAGTTGGTAAATGTACATAATACATCTTAATATGTTTTACATCATCTACCTGTCTTATTCCTTCCCACCTCAACCACTGATTGATCTCCTTCCGATTTGCAAAAGAGCCATCTATCTGGTTCCTATTATTTATAGTTCATGTTGCTTTTTAATTTGTTTATACTCTGGGTTTCTCATATAAAAGGATACATGTGATATATGTTTGTGTGTCGACTTATTTCACTCAATATTATAAACTCAAAGTGCATACTTTTGAAAACAAATGATTAAAATTTATTCATTTTTATAGCAAGGTAGCATTCTATTGTAGACAAATACTACATTTTCTTTATCCATTCATCTGTGCATATGCATATAGATTACTTTCAGCTAGGCGTGGTGGCACACACTGTAATCCCAGCATTTAGGAGGCTGAGGCAGGAGGATCACTCTGAGTTCAAGACCAGCCTGG